TGTGGTATTATGGGGTAACGGGGCAGCTCAGTCTGTAGGGACTTGGGTTGGGAATTAGAGGGTCGCCGGCACAGACCAAGTCTGGAAATTGGTCTGGTTGCTAGAGAGGTGCCAGTCCACTTCCTGAGCACTGCCGAGGTGCCCTTGAGCAAGGCACTGAACCCCAAGAAACTGCTCTGGAGTGCTTGCTGTGGGCAGCCCCCTCACTCTGAGACCTCTCCATTAGTGCATGTCCATAGGATCCTGTGCATATGTGTGTATTTCAGCCTGTGTTTGTGTAGCATGTTAATTAAACAGAGTGTAAAACTGAATTTCCCCTCACGGGATTAATAAAGGTTCCTGATGTTGTGCAGGCTCGGGGATTGTACTGTTTGAAAGGGCGTGGCTTAATTATAGGAGGCGGGCTTGCTTCCAAGTCACCAGGAGCCAAAAGGAGGAGAAAAATTGAGAAAACTGAATTAACTCTGATGAATGTCTCCTATCCTCCAGATGCTGAACCTGAATTTATGACTCAACATTGGACGTAATAATGACAAATGGAAAGGGCATAATTATTGTAGGAGGGGACTTTAACCTGGTCCTTGATCCAAATAGGGATTTGACATCTGATACTCATAGAGCACAAAAAACAGCCACAATTCTGAGGAGAGCATGTGTAGAAATAGGACTAAAAGATGTGTGGAGAACTTTACACCGTACAACTAAAGATTACACTTATTATTCAGGTAGACATCACACTTACAGTAGATTAGATTATTTCTTCATGTTTAAAAAAGATATTTCACATGTTAGTCAGTGTGATATTGGTGCGATAACCCTATCGGACCATGCAACTGTTACCTTAAAGGTTCGACTAAATTCTAAAAAGGGGAAATATTTATGGAAAATGAACAACTCTCTGCTGCAGGACCCTAAATTTTGTGAGAAAATGACGGATTGTATCAGTAATTACTTTGAACTAAATGATACGGGTGAAGTAAATGAAATTACTCTTTGGGAAGGAGCAAGGGGTCAAATAATAGCATATGTATCTGCAAAAAAAAAAAAAAAGAACAAAGCAAAAAGGAGCTTGAATTGAAAATAAAACTTCTTGAGAAAAAACATAAATTTAAGGTTACCGATGCCACAACTACAGAGTTAAAAAACGAACGTGCAGAACTAGATAAACTGAGAATGGAAGAAATAGAGAAATCACTCCTATTCACAAAACAGAAATACTATGATGGGGGACCCAACTCAGCGAAAGTTCTGGCATATAAACTGAAGAAGTACATGAATAAATCACATATCTATCAATTAAGTATATCTATCTATCTATCTATCTATCTATCTGTTACAAAATTAAAGGGTGACGAATCAAATATTATAACTGACAAAGAGGAAATAGCTGAGACATTTACTAAATTTTACGAGGACCTGTACGATGAACCAGGAAAAATAGAGACAGCCACAATGGACAGCTACTTCAGAAAACTCAAGCTGAGACAAGTCTCCTCTCAGATAAATGCATCCCTTATCAGGGCAATAACAATAGATGAAATAACTAGACAAATAAAACACCAGGGGGATGATGGATACACAAACGAGTTTTACCAAGAATTCAGAGTGTTATTGGCACCAATCCTCCTTCGGGTGTATAATTATGCATTGGACGTAGGTATCTGGGCACCAACCTGGAACTCATCAGTAATTGTTGTGATTCCCAAAGAAGGCAAAGACCAAGTGTTCATCTTATAGGCCAATATCTCTGCTAAATACAGACCAAAAAATACTGTCATCAATAATAGCTGAGAGACTCAAAGATATAATGCCAACCATAATAGATCAGGACCAATGTGGCTTTGTCTCCAGCAGACACTTGGCTGATAATATTAGGGGTACTTTAAATATAATTGACCATTCTTATAAAGGGAAAACCGATTTACTCTTGCTAACAATTGATGCAGAAAAAGCATTTGATAGAGTCTTTTGGCCGTATATATTTAATGCAGCAAAGGCTTTTGGTTTTCTCCCTAAATTTATCCAGTGGTTACAAATAATGAACAAGAATCCTGTATCACGAGTAAAGGTCAATGGCACACTATCAAGATCTCTGAAAATACATAAAGGAACCAGACAGGGAGACCCATTGTCATCGGAAATGAGGAATATAAACTGGCAATGTTTGCTGATGACATCATCATGTATTTAACATCACCTGAAACCTCACTGCCAGCTTTAAAGGAAACAATAAAGGAATATAGTAACATTTCTGGATATAAAATAAACGAAGCCAAATGTGAATCAATAACTATTGGCAATGAGTTAGATAGATAGATAGATAGATAGATACTTTATTGATCCCGAGGGAAATTCAAAGGGAAATTCAAAGCAGTTATCACAGACTGCTAAGAATAACTTTAACTTAAAATGGAATCAGACTAAAATAAAGGAAGTAGGAATATTTATCCATAAGGATTTAGAAAAAATTATGAATTCAACTATCAACCTTTAGAAGAAAAAATAAAAAAAGACCTAAATTGATGGAAAGCTATAACAGACTCCATCTTCGGTAGAATAGACACGATTAAAATGATGGTCCTTCCCCAGTTTCTCTTCCTGTTTCAGACCTCCCCCATTCCAATCCCCATCGCATCATTTAAGCGATGGAATGGATTATTAACACATTTTATTTGGAACAATAAAAGGAAAAGAATAAGGTTCAATAAATTAACAAAAGCCAAAGAATTTGGAGGCCTTGCCTTTCCTAATTTCCAGAATTACTTTAACGCAACACAAATAAATACAGTATTGACATGGTCAAGTGTAAGAGGTGCAAAATGGTTATTGATAGAACAACACTCAATACCAATATCTATTAAAACCTTGCCATATATAGACAAAAACGATTTTTCACATATTAGAGGGTTAAATAGATGGGTAGATAACATGTTCAACAGATGGAAAAACACATGTAAAACTCAAAAGGTAGATAAAGACCTGCTTGCTTTCAGAGATATGGCATGGGATCCTACATTTGAACCAAACAGAACTGATAACATCCTGCAACTATGGGCTTCAAAAGGACTGAAAACTTTTTCACAAATGCTAGCTAACAATACTATAATCCTATTTGAGACCTTAGTCTCAGAGTACAATTTAGCACAAAGTGGATTCTTTAAATATTTACAGATAAGAAACTATCTTTTAAAATGGCTAAAAAATGTAACTGTTTCTGAGAGGCACCCGCTTATATGTTTCTTGTATGAAAATCACGATAAAGTAATAAAAAACTCACTGTCAAAAATATACAAAAGACTTGAGACTAACAGGTGTGACAAAAATAGCATTCAGCAAAGATGGTCCTCTGAGATAGGAGTTGAATTGAGTGAGGAAGAATGGAACCAAGTATGCAGAGAAATTCATAAAACGAGAAACTCTAAATATTGGAAAGAATTTGCCTGGAAATTGTATTCAAGATTTTTCATTACTCCAGACATGCATTAAAAAATGTACACATCGTGAAATCTGACTGCTGGAGAAGTGGTGAGACAAAGGCAAACAATGCACATGTTTTCTTCTTCTGCTCAGTTTTAAAATCATTTTTGGCATTCTATCATCAAGACCATTGTCGCCATATTTGATATTAAAACCCAGCTTAACCCTGTGTATGTTATTTTAGGGAAGTCACCCCCAGAACTAACACAGGAACCAGACCGGTACTGTTACAGAATACTCAGAACAGCAGCTATGAAACAAATAACTCAGTGTTGGTTAAAGCCTATCTGCCCATCAGTGCAAAAATGGAAACTATGCAAGAAATGTCAGAAATTGAGAGAATAACTTATAGGGTTAGGAATAAAGAGATATAGTACAGAATACACTGGTCCAAGTGGGCCAAATGGGAGGCTATTATTTAATTCATTCATTCATTTATGAATAACCATTAATGTAAAATATACTGAATGAAGTGGATAAATTAATAAACAACAATTAAAAAACATGATATAGACAGATCTTAGTTATGTGCAAACACACATACAATCTTAGATGTAAATATCTGCAGGAGATGACGCACACTTGTTTTTTTTTTGTTTATTTATCTATTCATTTTTTCTTTAGTTAGTCCTTTTCTACTTCTTTTTTTTTTAAATTTTTAAATTTTTTAAATTTCTTGTACAGTATGCTTGGCCTGACTATGTGCTTGTGAGGAGGAGGCACGGGGCTCGCACTGGATGCTGCCTCTGTTGTATTTTGGGTTTGCATGCTGTGTGTATGTTTCTGTGTGTTGTTTCCTTTTCACCACAGGGTGTTAAAAATATAAAAAAAGATGTTGCGGATATGTGTGGGTGCAGTGATTGGAAACGTTAATGTATTGCAATAAAAGTATTTTAAAAAAGAAAGTGGGTAGTAATAGAATCAAAGTGGTCCGAAACATGCTCCTAAACCCTTTCTGGAAGAGGATTTGGGAGGGTTCAGGGTATGACAGGTACAGCAACCCACCTTGTAAGAAGGCAATAAGAAAGTTCAAAGTCTGGTCATGATCACTTTTCCTCATTTTAATTCAGAACATGCAAAACGAACAAACATTTCCCCTGTTAAAAACCTTTTTTCCCTTCACCTGACAGTGACACGCCTGCCACATTGCCAAGTGCTTGGCAAGGTGCCCACTGCCCCTTGGTGTTTACAGAGATAAACAAATACAAAACCAAATGCAAAATAACAAATAACAAGAGAAAGAAAAAAGCTCCCACAAAGCATGTATTTACTTTTGTCATAAAACACACTCTAGAAAATAAATGGTAAATATTTCTTTATTTGATAATGATGACATTGTATCAGAAATAATAAAGAGAAGACTATAACTGAGTCTCTTAAAACTTAAGATAATGTTAAGCAAAACGTATATAAATCCCATTAAATCTATTTCAGCAACAATACTACATCAGTATATTAAAAGAGAAACTGAAGCAGAAGCTTTAAGTGGGGTTAAGTTATTTACAAGTTCATCTTTTTATTTATTCTTTTACAGATAAAGAAAAAAGATGGGTTATGCAGTAACTCTACCTGTAATGCAATCCTTCTCATATCATCAATATATGCAATTAATTACGTAGCCTGTAATGAATTAGATAAAAAAAGATTATGGATTGACAGCACTTATTCTTGGTTGTACAGTGAAATTAATAAACTGAGTTCAAATCTCATCCTGCTGCAATTGAGACTTTTGATTAGGTAGATCTGTTTCTTTAAATGCATAAAAAAATGAGATATCAAAATGATGAAAGCAGAAGATTATTTTATCTGGTGAGTCGATGTTATTCTCGAAGTTATTGTTGCTGAGTGGAGTCTGACAGAAGCAGAAGGTTCTCCAATATCATCATAGTACACAGAGCCTTCATCTTCATCATCAAGCACCTGTGAAAATACAAAAACATTTGAGTTTAAATGGAGGTAAGAAAATCCCTGTTTCCACCAAGCGGCCAGGTTTGGTGCGGCTTGGTACCGTAAACCATGATCTTGCTCGCATTTCCACAGCTAACCCTACACATAAAGACAGGGTTGTAAGTTTTGAAAACTAGCATGATTTTGAAAGTAGCATTCCCTCAGTGTGCTGTCTGCACCCACCCCCTCCCCTCTGTGCTCCCTCAAAAGCCACGCCCCCTCACTTACATGCACAAGCGCCAATGGTCCAGAAGCGGACCTTACTTACTTACTTAATTACTGCTCTTGCACAGGAAGTAATGATTCTTTCCACCAATCATCGGACTGCAGTGTATCTAGCTTCAACCATTTGGGTTGGATCGGTACGCTTGGCACCCCAAGAGAAGGGTACCAAAAAAGTAGGACAATACAGATCAGTTATTTTGGTACTATTCCCAACTTTTGACAGTGGAAACGCCAATAAATGTGTGGCGTGCCAAACTGAACCGGCCGCTTGGTGGAAACAGGGCTAAATGTTACTTTTTATTTGAACACATCAGTTCACATCAGGTTTCATTTCTAGCTCACAGTGTTGTCATAAGGTGGTCTCCGGGTCCCTGAAAATAAACAACAAAGAAACATTTCAGCTCTAAGTGTTCAGTTGGTTGTTATCAGTCTAAATAAAAGTTGATCTTGGAGTTTGGTCTGAGTTTTTCTCACCTCGAGTTCTGAAGAGAAGAACAGTGATCACAGTCATCAGGATGAGTTCAGCCACATGCAGAACCAACATCATGAAGTCCAGAGCAGAAGAACCTGTACAATCTGATGAACAACAGGTACATAAGGTCTGTAAATTATCTGTAAAATAAAATGTTTTGGCCATGCTGGTGAGGTCGACCACTTGAGTCTTATTCAGTAGATGTGAGTGTACTCTAATAATCAATGTGTTTGGCTCTTGAAAATAGCATGATTTTGGTTTAAATTTAATTAAGTAGCAGTTTTTGGTTAATGAGATTGTACTAATTGTACAGAATCTGCAGTACAATACAAAATAGTGTCATCTGCATAGAAATGGGCGTGACAACCGTTCAAAGAAGAAGCAATGTCATTAATATAAACAGTGAAAAGCATGGGACCCAAGACTGAACCTTGTGGCACACCGCTATCAATGAACAAAAAATTCAGATTCAGCGTGAACTGACAACATACTGATGAATAAGTAATCCTAAACCAGGTACAACAATAGATGATCAACAGAAAAAGATAAGTGTGTTTCCTGTCCCACCTCATGTGAAATCAATTCTTAAATACGCATGAAACGGAAATGGGTTGGGTTTGAGGCGTAGTCTATGTTCCTGAACCAAGTTTCAAAGACTATATTCAATTGCCTCTCTCGCTTTTAATCCTAAACCAAGCTGCTGCTATGCGGACTATAGTCTCTGTACCTTGGGCGCACGACATAACCACTAGGCTATCAGCTCCCTGCCAGCCTTTGTTTTAGTATACATTTTTGTGTTGGAGAATGAGCATTCCTGTAAAAGTATCTAAAAGTTGTTTTTTTCTACATTCATTTATTAAAGAGGGATTTGAGTAAAACCAGACATATACAAATGTTGACTCACCAACTGGATGTTCTGTTGGAGATGTTCCTTCTGGTACGCTTTCTGCAGGGTCTAAAAACAGATGAACACAACTCAACAAAATGTTCAGCACAACACCCTTTGTCGTCATGTGATCATTAAAACTTCATCTCCTTGAAATGAATACATGTTGACTGGTTTGTTAAGTTGCACGATGGAGATATTGTGGAAGAGGGACAACAAGACTCAAATGATCTTCATCACCCATTCATTGGAACATTTCATAAAGGTACAAGACATTTAGGCCTAGTCTACAGGTTAGCAGGGTATATTTTTAAACAGAGGTGAAAAGAAAATGTGTCCACATGAAGTCGTTATGTTACAGCTGTCATGAGCACGCTCAGTCAACAACGTGTCCTTTAAAAGCAAAAATGTTCTATCCCATCTGCGATGACACCTACGCTTTCAAAAATACCCGCTACATGTGGACTAGGCCTTAGACCTGAAAACATCTTGATATATAACTGCTCACCTTCAACAAAGAGACGAATTACAGCCGGAGTTGTTTGTATTTCTGTTGTCGTGAGCTGTTCACAGTAAAACCAACCAGCATCCTTCACTATGATCGGCTTTATAACCAGAGAACAATCCTCTGTAAGACTCAGTCTGCCTGATTTCACTACATCCAGCTGGATATAACGTTCCCATGATGGATGACGATAGTTCCAGGCAGTATTGTGACAGTTATTCTGGTCGCATTTCATGTTTATACAAGGCAGACGGACTTCATCTCCTTCTCTGACACCAAGGTGGAAGACGTTCACTTCAGCTGCTGCTGTCGAGAAAAAGAAGAAAATTAAACCGAAATGTTGATCGTAAATGTGAAGTTAACTTTGTGTCATAGGTTTCAAAAACTTTACTAAACTTATTGTTTTATTAATTTTTTTAAAAGAGATTGAACAAAAACTTTCAAAAGCTTTAAAAGTCAGTAGTCATTTCTTTGCCATGCAGCTTCTTTTTCTGTTGATTTAATATCAGCATTCTTACCTGTAAACTGAAGCAGCCATATGAGAAATAAAGACATTTGTTTCCTTTTGAGGTCTACCATTGTGTTTCTCCGTGCTCTCTCTTGCTCTCACGCTCCAAACTGTCATCTCTACACCTCCTTTTATAGAGAGACGCTGCGTCCACTTCCTGTGGTTACTATGATGTCCCTTTATTGAGGGCATATTGCTTTCACATGAGAAAATAAAATCTGCTTTGTTTTATCTGAATTATCAAGATCCCGGGTTCCTCACAGTCCCAACAAAAGCTCACAGTTATAACACTTGAAGTGTTAAGTCAGTGACAGAGTTAGATCACGATAGTGCGGACACGTAGAAGAACGGACTGCCAGACTCATATCAAAAGTGGTTTAACTGAGTTTACTGAGTTGAAAAACGTGCACTTCACGCGGAGCTGATCAGACTGCAGTGATCAACGCTGAAGGATCAATTCAAGTCTGTTGGTTTGGAAACATGTTATCATTTTATAATGCCTAACACTAAAATACCTGAAGATGCATCAAAGACACTCGTGAGCAGGTTTAATCTGTAATGAACCTTAACGAGTGCAAACTGTGCTGTGGCCTGACATACACAGATCTAAAGTCTCTCGCTCGCTCTCTCTCTCTCTCTCTCTCTCTCTCTAATGCACTGATCCCAGGGCAGGTAGAATAACTTGTGTCAAAGTTTCTATAACCTTGAACAGCAATATTTAAATATAATATAATAATCTCAAACAAAACCTAATTATTGATATTTTCTTCTGTACTGTGGTACATTTATATATTTTTATGTGCCAACATGCAGTTTGCAGTGACAGTTAACCCCTCTGCTTAATGTTAATGTTAAAGATTTCTATACAATCATACATTAGCCTATATATCCATGTGTTGAGTTATAGTGATGTTGGCAAAATTAGTCCGGCCCACTTGAGGTCTCATTTGAACAAATCCGGCCCCCGACCCAATAGAACTCTGACACCCCTGGACTAGAAGGAACGTTTGTAAATGCAAATGTTACAAAGGCAACTGCGTAAAGCATCCCCAAATGTTACCTTTTTATCTTCGGTCCTTAACCGTGGTACAGGGAAGCTTCTTGGCTCGTTTTAGGCTGGTAACAAATCGTCCGTTTATTCGGCACACAAAGCATGAGGAGAGACTCTGTTGATTCACTTAACCGGGTCACTTTATTCATAGACACCTGTAACTGCACACATACTTGTACTTGTTGCAGGAGACTCACGCAACTTCTCATCGCCTACATTTCCCATCAGCCACCTACTTAAAGCGACAGCCTCAGGCCGGTAACACGAACAACAAAAACAGTCAGTATTGTTTGGTTCTATACAGTCTTTCAGTGAGCAAAACTTCCTCTTGTGAGTTTGGCTGGCAGGTAGTGGGCAGGGCTTATTCATTAACAGTGGCCCAGGTGTGTTTAGTGTGTGAAATAACAGCATCCAGGGTGGATCTCAGCGCTGAGCCAATCAAGTGTGACCTGACTTTAAAGCAACAGTGAAGACAAAAATCCACTAAATCTTGTTTTTGTTCCTTTTTGTTTGACCAACTGTTACCTACAACAAAAAATGAGCAAGCTGTCTGCTTGGGCTGGCTGCTGACCAGAGGTAAGCCCCTACCCTACACCGTCAGCCAGCCTATGTTTTTTATTTATTTTTCGGGCCTTTTAGCTTTTATTGGATAGGACAGCGTAAGAGAGACAGAAAATGTTGGGAGGAGACAGCAGGGGATGACATGTATCAAAGGGAAGAGGTCGGATACGAAACCAAGCTGCTGCTATGCGGACTATAGTCTCTGTACCTTGGGCGCACGACATAACCACTCGGCTATCAGCTCCCCTGCCAGCCTTTGTTTTAGTATGCATTTTTGTGTTAGAGAATGAGCATTCCTGTAAAAGTATCTAAAAGCTGTTTTTTTCTACATTCATTTATTAAAGAGGCATTTGAGTAAAACCAGACATATACAAATGTTGACTCACCAACTGGATGTTCTGTTGGAGATGTTCCTTCTGGTACGCTTTCTGCAGGGTCTAAAAACAGATGAACACAACTCAACAAAATGTTCAGCACAACACCCTTTGTCGTCATGTGATCATTAAAACTTCATCTCCTTGAAATGAATACATGTTGACTGGTTTGTTAAGTTGCACGATGGAGATATTGTGGAAGAGGGACAACAAGACTCAAATGATCTTCATCACCCATTCATTGGAACATTTCATAAAGGTACAAGACATTTAGGCCTAGTCTACAGGTTAGCAGGGTATTTTTTTAAACAGAGGTGAAAAGAAAATGTGTCCACATGAAGTCGTTATGTTACGGCTGGCATGAGCACGCTCAGTCAACAACGTGTCCTTTAAAAACAAAAATGTGGACTAGGCCTTAGACCTGAAAACATCTTGATATATAAATGCTCACCTTCAACAAAGAGACGAATTACAGCCGGAGTTGTTTGTATTTCTGTTGTCGTGAGCTGTTCACAGTAAATCCAACCAGCATCCTTCACTATGATCGGCTTTATAACCAGAGAACAATCCTCTGTAAGACTCAGTCTGCCTGATTTCACTACATCCAGCTGGACATAACTTTCCCATGATGGATGATAATAGTTCCAGGAAGTATTGTGACAGTTATTCTGGTCGCATTTCATGTTTATACAAGGCAGACGGACTTCATCTCCTTCTCTGACACCAAGGTGGAAGACGTTCACTTCAGCTGCTGCTGTCGAGAAAAAGAAGAAAATTAAACCGAAATGTTGATCGTAAATGTGAAGTTAACTTTGTGTCATAGGTTTCAAAAACTTTACTAAACTTCTTGTTTTATATATTTTTTAAAAGAGATTGAACAAAAACTTTCAAAAGCTTTAAAAGTCAGTAGTCATTTCTTTGCCATGCAGCTTCTTTTTCTGTTGATTTAATATCAGCATTCTTACCTGTAAACTGAAGCAGCCATATGAGAAATAAAGACATTTGTTTCCTTTTGAGGTCTACCATTGTGTTTCTCCGTGCTCTCTCTTGCTCTCACGCTCCAAACTGTCATCTCTACACCTCCTTTTATAGAGAGACGCTGCGTCCACTTCCTGTGGTTACTATGATGTCCCTTTATTGAGGGCATATTGCTTTCACATGAGAAAATAAAATCTGCTTTGTTTTATCTGAATTATCAAGATCCCGGGTTCCTCACAGTCCCAACAAAAGCTCACAGTTATAACACTTTAAGTGGCAAACATTCAGAGTTTATCAGTTAATATTTTGGTTTGGGCTTTGACACCTGGGGAGATACTCGTGTCTTTATGATACATAGATGGCATTATTGTATTATTACTAGCTGTCAACTTTGCACATGCTGCTCCGATCCGTCAGACTCAGCGTAACAATCCCAATGCATTGTGCTACTGCCTCTCCATAGGAAATAAATAGAAAGCGTTGAGACACTACCCGTCATCAGATCCAGTGGAGCTGTGAGGTAAGGAGTGCAACTGAGACGTCGATGTTGTGCAGAGAAATGCAAACAGCTCGTAACTCGTACTTCTCTGATAATAATGTTGTTAATTCACATGAATGCAATACAGAAATCTGAAGTTTTGAGATTTAACTTCTGATAATTGTTTATTTTTATATTTCATAGTGAAAACAGTGTACACAGCTTTTATCAGACTTTTACAATGTTTAACAGTTGCCCTAAACAGATGATCAGTGAGATGAGATGCATCCACCTCAGAGATCACAGCAGACCCACAAATCTTGTCCCTGATTACGGAGCAAATTCATGTTTTAATCTCATGGAGTGACATGGAAACTGAAGTATGTTTGAAAGTTCATGTCACCAACCCGATGGTGCATTTTTCACCGTGATGTTTGCAACATCCTGGGAAGAACAAAAAACAAAACTTGGAAGTTAAAACAGTGAGAATTGTGATCCAGGTTGAAGTTTGCAAACCTGCGACATGGTGTCTTTAGAGGTCGTTTATTAAGACTACAGAGAGGATCTTTGACAGTAAACATGAACAAACGTGCGAATAGGCAAACGCCTTGACCACCACAATTTTGAGGTCTGTTGATTTTCAGTTCTGCTTTTTCTGAGAACTGAACAGGAAGTATTTCACTCAAAGTGCGGTTTAAACAGCAGAGCTCTGTCGAAAACCAAAGTTAACCGCTTGAAGTTTTTAGGTCAGTGAGCTCATTGCAAACAAACATTTGAATGTTGCTTAGCACCCGGACAGAACAACCACCAACAACGTACCATTTCATTAATGCACCCTCTAAATAACATGAACATACATGACAATGATTTGAGACTTTAGACCTGTTTTTGTTAGTCTTTAGGGCAGTTGCTTTCTGCGACCTTAAAGGTCACATATTAAGCAAAATCCACTTCACCATGTTTCTCTAACTCTAACATGTGTCTCTAGTCTGTCTACAGACCCCTCAATTATGAGAAAAGTCCATCCTCTCCATCTTTTTCCTGCTCCACTTTTCAGAAAATGTGTGCTCAAACAGGCCGTTTGGCGATTTTCCCTTCATGACATCACAAAGGGCAGTAGCCCCTCCCCAGGTGGGTGACACTCCCACAGCTAGGTGTTTGTTCTGCCCTCTGAGTCTGCCTTCTCACCGTAAACAATAGGACATGGAGTGAGAAAGCCCTTCCAGAGAGGGGGCGTGGTCAGACACAGCTCATTTACATATTTAAAGGTACAGACACAGAAACAGCCTGTTCTGAGCAGGGCTGAAATAGAGGGGTTTATAGACATGATCAAATACAGGATCAGAGTGGATTTAGAACAAGAAACTTCACACACATGTTTTGGGGAGCTCTGAGACTTACTTAAACTGATTGATGAGGAGGAGAATATGTGACCTTTAAGGTAATGCCTGACAAAAGACCAACAAGCCCATGGGCGCTAACAGGGGTGCAAGTTCATCTGAACACAAGGTTGTTGCTGGGACTGCAAACGGCAACTGCAAATGAAACTTGCCCTGCACCCAGAGACACTTTGCAATTGTTTAAATTATGACCCAGAACGTTTTTACAAAAGGCACAAAAGGCACAAAAGGCACAAAAGCACAATGCAGCTGTTTAAAATCTTTGACCACTGATATTAAACATCACAAGTCAATGGTGTAGCTGATGATCTGCTCTGGTAAAACTCCCGCAGAAGGTCTGACGTTTTCATAGTTCTCTGTATCAACATCATGATCGTCATCCACCTGTGAGAAAACTGCACAACACAATGAATCGACAAGTTGAAAAACAGTGGGACAGACGATGACTCAACACGCAGAAAACGCAGGTTGTTCAAAATCAGTTGTTCTGTGAATGATCTCACCTTTAGTTCTTGTCCATACGTTGACCGTCACAACAGTTATCATGAGGGCTGACAAACCCACCGACACAACGATCAGCCTCCACCGGGCTGAAAAGAGAACGAAGACATGAATACTTGGGTCCAGATTTCTTGTGCTTAGTATAGTTTATACATTTTACATACAGTTAAGGACAGTGTGCATTTTCTATGTTTTCCTTGAGAGATCCGGGGTAGGGATGTATGTGGGGTTGCCACAGGGTGAGGGGAAGGTTTGGAAGTTTGATTGATCCTGATGTTTGCACATATGCACTTTTATACATGTATGTGCTCTAGGGGGGTGGTTGGAGGTAAAGGGGAAAACGGTTGTAATATATGATGTAATTTCTTTGTAAATTTCTAAATAAAAAATTGATCACAAAAAAGAACAGGGCAAAGCATGTCAATATTGCTTCTCTCTCACCGGCCAATCAAAATGAAGAGGGGGGGGACTTACAACATCAGCTTTATCAGTAACAATGGCGGGGGAGACACTAGTCTGACTCGTCTTTTTGAGGTTACAATTTCAGGTGTAGAGCTTTCTGCTGATTGCAGGACATCACTCCTTTAAATTGTTTTCATGTTTACTTGTAAATTTAAGCAAATATAGATTACGAGCAGAGACAAGCCCCATCACCTGCCTGGTCCTTATACAAGCAGAGACACCCACCACCAGCCCCATTCCCTAGCTGGGCCTCACAACCACCTCCACTTCCCTCTCATCAATATTACCCTTTTCCCTCATACCATCAGTACACTACCATACAGTATCACCACCACACAGTGGAGACACTTGAAGACCAGACCAGGAGCATGTAGCAAGAGGGGAGCTACCAAAACAGCAGCAATGCAAAGAAGGACTACCACTGTGAGTGTAAACTATGTGGTCGGTCGAAAAAGAAAAAGCACTGGTCATACCCACCTGAAGAGAAAGTGGTGCTGTCCAGCATCTGGACAGAACATCACAGAATGGAAAGAAGCTCTCCAAAATAAATAAGTTATATATATTGTTACAGTGTGCAGTTTGAGTTGTTTTGAAAATTTGATACATAGATTGTTGCACATTTTTAAGTGCTGTATTTCTGTACTTTGAAAAAGCACAATAATTTACTGTGGACAAATCTCAGTGTGTGCTTTGTTTGTTTGTTTTCAGTATGTTTGTCAAGCCCACCAAAGATCTTTTTATAAGATGCATGAAGAAAGGTGTAAATTATTTTTTTTAATTTAAAAGACTATTTTGTGTTGATAATTGTTTTATTGCCATAAAAGTAGATAGGACATCTCATCTTTTCTCTTCTCCTTGTTGTCTTTTTCTAGATACAACATGAGACTCAGAAATGTTTTGATGTCAGAAAGATTTGTAGTGAATTGTCCTGATTTTGTTATATTGTCTACATAATATGTCCTGTTTTGCTCTTTGTTTAATCTCTTAAGGTGAGGTTTTGAGATAAGCCCTCATGGGTTTCTACCTCACTTGCACATGTGTTTTATTTTCCTGTTAGACTCTTCTTTCAAAAAGAAGAAAATATACCAGCGTGTACCTGAGTACTCGTTTAAGTAATGTGAGTACTCAGGTATTTAGATGACTGTAAATGCCTAACACTAGGCATTACCTGCTGTAAAGGTGTTTTCCGTAGTTCTTTTAAATCCAGCTGTTGGTGTTGTTGTTGAATTATTTGGTGTCGTTCTCACTTCATCACCTGAAACAAGACGAACGCAATTCATTCAGTGTCAAATCTATCAACTTCAAATGATTACAAAAAATACATTTTAATTATTTACAACATTTTGAGGTTACTTTAAGCAGCTCATATATCGACCGTATATAAATATGGACAGTGTTTCTCCGTGCCCCTTCCCTTTTACCAAAGTGAAGCCAAAATCATCCCGCTATGGACGCTGACATAAAACAAGTGTGACGTCATTTTGAACCAAGACGAGCGCAGAAGGGAGCTGGCTGTAAAACGAAACAAACACTCACATTTACAGAAAGTTCAATGGCTGTCTTTTTAGTTTTCATTACGTTTTCTCTTCTAATCTGATAATCCAGTTTCTGATCTTTTTAGCATCGAGTACATTATTTAATATAAACTTCTTAAAATAGTGAACAATCGGACATACATACTATCACAACAGAATCTGATCTAAAGACAAATGTACTTGACGTGTGTTTTAACTTATAGTTTGACCCATGTCCCATCTGTTAACATGGAGGAGGCGGGGCTTATGGCCCTTTACTTCAGCCAGTCAGTAAGCCGGGAGCCATTGGAGGTTTAAATAAATCCTTTTTTGTTTTCTGCAATTGGGTTTCAGGACTTTAGTTTATTCAGCGTGACGGCCTTGGCTTCACTGCTAGGCGACAGTTGTTCTGTCCATCTTCATAAACAGACTACTACTCCTTCATTGAGAGCATTATTACTTTTTCTATAACCTGCTGGTTCCACTCCACCACCCTCCAGAAGAGAAACCGCCTGCAGAGCACGGTCACAGTCTGCTCTAAGATCATTGGACTACCTGTAAGGACTTTGACATCGATCTATGAGCAACAGACAATCAGGCTAGCAGGTCAGATTATGCAGGACCCATCACACGCTCTCTTCCCAGCGTTTGAGTGGCTCCCCTCAGGACGCCGGCTTCGCTGTCACAGAGGAGAAGAGCAACCTTTGTTCCCAGGGCTGTCCAGCTCTTCAGCTCCCCCCCCCCCCCCAACAGACACCAACACCTCTCACCCAATGCAGACTCTCAGCTGTGAACTTCCTTTATATTGACATGCACCTTAACTGCCCCTGCTTTATCTGGTCTCATGCACTACATCACTTTATTCT